TATCAGTTAACATTATGCCATCTTTCCTCTAATAGATTATATTCTTGTCCAAGCATAGCTTTAAAAATTTTTGTTAGGCCAGGTGTGGTGGCTCACTCCTGTAATCCTAGCACTCTGGGAGGCTGAGGTGGGCAGATTGCTTGAGGTCAGGAGTTCAAAACCAGCCTGAGCAAGAGCGAGACCCCATCTCTACTATAAATAGAAAGAAATTAATTGGCCAACTAATACATATATAGAAAAAATTAGCTGGGCATGGTGGTGCATGCCTGTAGTCCCAGCTACTCGGGAGGCTGAGGCAGAAGGATTGCTTGAGCCCAGGGAGTTTGAGGTTGCTGTGAGCTAGGCTGATGCCACAGCCCTCTAGCCAGAGCAATAGAGTGAGACTCTGTCTAAAAAAAAAAAAAAAAAAAAAAATTGTTGTTTTAGTAGCATTTTTGGAAACCTCGGTTCTTACTGTGCTTGTGCCTTTGTGACACTTAAAGGTTCACACCAATATTTTGTATCCATAATTAGTTCTTTTATACATACTTATTCTTTAAAAATCTGAGCTTCACTTATAATTGGTTCTCTAGGTGCTTTGCCATCTCATTAGGAATATTTGTGATATATATCAGAAATTTATTTCCTTAAGAATCTCCCATGCGACTCAGAGGCTTTGTCCTGAGATCATATCTAACTTTGAGTTGAACTCTCAGATCTTTTCAGATGAAGGGAATGTCTTATTGGAATCAGAATTTTCTTCTTTGCGTTACGAATTCTAAGGCAACATTTCATTCTTACCCAGTAATCAAAATGTTTTTTTTTTTGAAAAATAAATTTTCTCCTTTTTTTTTTTATTAATTTTTCCTCTTGCAGGTTTCCGCAAAGTTTTTTGTTTTTTACTTAAAAAAATTTTTTTTTTTAAACCTTTTTTTTTTTTTTTTTTTTCCAAAGTTTAGCTAAAAACCCCTTAAAAAAGCAAGCAGGTTTTATTTTGGTCCAAAAAAAAATTTAATAAGGCTTGAACTGGCAAACCCTAAATGGGTCCAGTTAGCTTTAAAAAAGCAACAAAGCGAGACTCTGTCTCAAAAAAAAAAAAAAAAAATGAAATTTTTATTTAAGTGATAATTCTTTTAAGATATCTACTTTTGTGATTTTAGGAAACCTGACTTAATTCCTTTTTTTTTTTTTTAGTCAAGTACTTTGGTTTGTCAGGAACACACATACCTAGTCAAGCTAGCTTAAGTAGTGGATTTTGTTAGAGATATACCAGGTATGCAGCTTTGGCTAACATACAGAGTGAAACTGGCCATGCCTCACTGCTAAAAGACACAGGTGTAAATTTAAGCCATTTGGCTTTCACATGACTTGCACACAAATCCAAAAGATTATCTTTTAAAAATATATACATATATGTACTTATATATACATACACACATATATATAAATAAAATGGGTATTGAAGAACAAAAAATGTAATGCAGCAGGCCACATAGGCACTAGAATTGGGATTGGAAAGTCAGTACCTAAGCTGGGCATGGTGGCCCACACCTGTAATCCTAGCACTTTGGGAGGCCAAGGCAGGAGGATTGCTTGAGGTCAGGAGTATGAGACCAGCTTGAACAAGAGTGAGACCCCATCTCTACAAAAAAATAGAAAAAAAGCCAGGCGTGGTGATGTGAGCCTGTAGTCCCATCTACTCTGGAGGCCGGGGCAGGAGAATTGCTTGAACTCAGGAGTTTGAGGTTGCAGTAAGCTATGATGACACCACTGTACTCTAGCCAGGGTTACAGAGTGAGACCCTGTCTCAAAAAAAAAAAAAAAAAAAAAAAAAAGTAAGTACCTAAGGTCAAGGTTTACACTGTCTCAGCTCTACTTTTCTCCATCTATATGTCATTTCTCATTAAATGGAACCATGATGCCTTGGAGAAATGTGTGATTCCAGACCTGGGACATCCTGTAGCAAAAAATAAAAAAAGCAATCAAAGACTATTGGTTATGTTAGAATGATACAGAAACAAACTTGAAGAAGCTCCCAGTGGCCAAAAAATGGCACAATTTGAACATCAAAAAGAATAATCACTGTGATTATTTTAAGTACATTAAATATATAAAAATCCATGAGTTCATAATCACATTTTAAAAATTAGTCACTTTGGCAATTGCTAGGATATACTTATTATTCTGAATACTAGTAAATAAGAGAATCAAGCATTTATCCTGTCTTTGCTATACTGATTGTATAGCAAAATAACCCAAGAGTTGGCAAGGAAAATTTCTCCTTTATAAAAGAATCCTAGCCAAAAAATTCAGTGTGGATGGTATTATAGAATTAGAAGGTTGTTATTTTTGTAATCTCTTTCATCCACTTGATTCCTCTATTCTTGTCCTCAAAACAGTGGTCTTAGACCAGTGCTCCCAAACTGACTGTGGTGAGAACCGGGTGTTTTGTTTTAAACTTCCAGTTTATTGAGGAGTAATATTATTGGAAAATGCAGTAAGATGTTGCTGCAATGTTAAATTGCTGAAAAAGCTTCTAAACACTTTTGATATTTCAGTTATCACAAATTGGTAGCAAATCACTGGGGCCTGGCACCACCACACCTTGAGTAGCACTGGCCTAAACAGTGGTCTTACGTGAATGCCAAAACCAGTAAGTGAAAGATTCATAAGGAACTGTAAAATGGATTTGGCTGAAAACACCCAAACCTTCTTATCACTAAAAGTGAGGCAGCCAGACACTGTGTGCTTCCTGACGTGATACAACAGGAAATTCACAGCACCACCCACAAACTGTTCTTGCCACCCTTCTGCCCACAAAAATCTGAACCTGAATCTAATCAAGCTTCTAGAATTGACTACCAGTTCACCAGGAATACAAGGGATAGAGGAGTGAGTTAAATGACACACCACAAGCAAGGCATCAGCCAAATTCCAGAATGGGGGAAATGCTACAGGACAAATGATGCAATTTATACAACTTGAACAAGTGTCATATAATGAAATGGGAGGGTTCCTTGCTATAAGGGTAAAGAGATATAAAAAGACATCTGAATCAGATACAACTTGTGGGAATGTGAAAATGGACCATTGAAATTATATGTATATGTATTTTTAAGCTTAATCTGTTAGAAATACAAATTGTTTCAGGTATAAAGATGTGATGTCATCTGGGATTTGTTTTAAAATACTGCAGAAAAAGTGGTTGTGTGTTTCAGGGCGGAATAAGAAGAAGGGAAAGTAGGTGAAATAAGCAAAAATGTTGATAATTATTGAAGCTTGGTAACAAGCGTCGAAGATAAAGTTGGACGTTGGTTAAAGTCGTGAAAACAGATTATACTCAGTAACTACTGGCAGAAGGGGAAAGAGCTGAACTCTAGTCTCATTTGTGCAGAGATGACAGTATCTTAAAGGAATAGTGAGGGAGTAGGGTAGGGAGTAGTCGGGCTCAAGTGAAAGATGACGAAGGGCGGGTCAGTGTAAATGTGATTAGGCCAGCTGTGTCTGCTAGCTGGCAATTATCAACATTAGGATCCCATCCTCCCACAGAAACAGAGGCCCCATCCTTCCTGAGAATTACATTTCAAAGGAATGGCTTTGAGAAAGACACTCCTGAGTTGCAGGAGATAGGTACATATAAATCTCAAAGGGACAGAGGAAAGATTCATAAATGTTAGCCCTTTTTAGTAAATGCTCTAAGGGAGGTCAGAGGCCTGTTGGCCTACGCCTATCATCAGATATTGGCTAGAACAAACCGTTCTCCTGACAGTGATAAACTTTCTCAGGCAGGCATTTTAAGAGAGGGCTGGGGTCATCCCAGGGACATGGCCATATGCTGCTAAAAACCATGCCAAAGTTTGGTCGTCTATTAGTGAAGAGGTTTGAACAGACTCATCATGTGCTGAGAGTTCTGCAGTTCTGACAGCTACACAGGGGTCCAATATAGTCTCTTTTTATAAGAAAAATGCACTCTTAAGAGTTTTATTAATAAAAAGGGTTTTTGTGTATATATACCTGTTGACCAATTCCTCTTAAAGGAATGTGTCCTAAGGTGGTAATCAGGAATTTGGTCAAGGATTTACATATGAGGATGTTCATCAAAATAGTAACATAGAGACAAATTAGAAACATACAGGCTGGGCATGGTGGCTCACACCTGTAATCCTAGCATTTTGGGAGGCAGAGGCAGGAGGATCACTCGGGGCCAGGAGTTCGAGAACAACCTGAGCAACACAGCAAGACCCTGTCTCTCCAAAGATAGAAAAATTAGCCAGGCCTGGTGGTACATGCCTGTGGTCCCAGCTACACAGGAGGCGGAGCCAGAGGGACCACTTGAGCCCAGGAGTTTGAGGCTATAGTGAGCTATGGTGATGCTGCTGTGCCGCTGCCTAGGCAACAGAGCAAGACCTTGTCTAAGAAAAAGGAAAAGAAACAAACATTTCCTACATTAAAAGATTTATAAATAAATTACAGTACATCCTTTTATTTATTAGATTCTCTGAAATCCAGAAGCATCAAGACCTACTTGATTAGTGAAGCTCTGTGAAAGTAGGCTCTTATATTGCTAAAGGAGTTGACCCCATGGAAAGCAATTTGGCGACATTGGCAAAATTGCTAATCCATTTACCATGACCTAACACTCCCACTTCTGGAAGTGTGTTCTGCAGCAGTATCTTTACATGTATGAAGTTGTTATATATATTATCATTCCATCATGATTTGTGATAGCAAAGATGATTATAATAAGATTAGTTATTAAAAGATTACTGTATAAGTTCTATAATTTATATAACTAGTCCACTGTTTTGATCTAATATATACTACATGTTATGGAAAAAGGCCCATGTTTATAGGCTAGTTAAGTTAATTGTGCACATATGCAGAGGATTACTACATAACTGCAGAAAGGATGAGGAAGTTTCATATCTGCACACCTAATATGGCAGCCACTAGCTACCTGTGGCTATTTGAATTAATTAAAATTAGATAAAACTTAAAAATTCAGTTCTTTGGTCATGCTAGCCACATTTAAAAGTGCTCAGCATGTGCCTAGTGGCTACCATATTGGACAGCACAGGTATAGACCATTTCTATCAATGGAGAAAGTTATACTGAATAGCTCTGCTTTATATTTTTAAAAAATTTTAATATGTAAATATAGAATATAAATATTTTTTAAATCTCTAAAATACCCATATTATTGTATATAACAGATACTTACAGATAGGTAGAAAATCTATAAAACAAACCCCAGTTTCTGTGTGAAAATTTAAAACCTGATTTCCAAACACATGGAATCTTTTCACAGATTTTTTTTCTTAAAATCAATAACTATCCTGTTTTCTCCTGTCAGTTTGCCATCATTTTCAGATGGCAGTGTAATTGCAAGGTAGATTCTGTATTATGGAAAAAATTGACTTGGTGGTGCAATTGTTGAAGGCAAATAATGTAAAGGATTCTTGACAAATTCATTTTTCAGCTAGGCTTTACTGTTTTCTGCAGGCAAAAAGCTTGAACCAAGCATGCCTGAAGAAGTAGCCTTCCTCAGCTCTTTACTGAGTACATATTCTATGAACTCTAAATTTAATAGGTGCTATAAAGTACCTAGCAGAAAGTTACATCTGTACTCACAGCTTCTTGAAGTATTCCGAAATTAGATACAAGGCAGGCACGGTGGCGAGCACCTATAGTCCCAGCTACTGGGGAGATTGAGGCAGGAGGATTGCATGAGGCCAGGAGTTCAAGACTGCAGTGCACTCTGATAGTGCCTGTGAATAGCCACTGCACTTCAGCCTGCATGGCATAGCTAGACCTCATCTCTTAAATTCTTTTTAATTAGGTATAATCTTTATTTGGCTGCAGGCAATCCTAAAAATGTTTATTTTAGAGTCTGGCTTATTTTAATGTCATCTAAGATGAAGATAATAGGAACTAATTACCACCTTAATGTGCAGTGTTTGGTTTGGGTTTTTTTGTTGCTTTTTTTTTTTCGGAAACAGAGTCTCACTCTGTTGCCCAGGCTAGACTGCCATGACATCAGCCCAGCTCACAGCAACCTCAAACTCCTGGGCTCAAGTGATCCTCCTGCCTCAGCCACCCAAGTAGCTGGGACTACAGGTGTGCGCCACAACACCTGGCTAATTTTTTCTGTTTTTAGTTGTCCAGCTAATTTCTTTCTTTTTTTAGTAGAGATGGGGGTCTCGATCTTGCTGAGCCTGGTCTGGAACTCCTGAGCTCAAGCAATCCTCCTGCCTCGGCCTCCCAGAGTGCTAGGATCACAGGAGTGAGCCACTGTGCCCAGCCAGTGTGCAGTGTTTTATAAAAGTGGACAGTTGAACTATAAATTTGTGATACTAATAAATAATTTATTTTAGTAGATCTACAGAAAATGAGGAAATTCTCTCTCTGGAAAATAAAGTAGACTGTAGAGAAAAATCATCTTCGAATTTATCTTACCAAAGTCATGACTGCTCTGGTGCCTGTCTGATGAAAATGCCACCAACCTTCAAGGGAGAAAACCCTCTGCAGCTACCAATTAAATGTCACTTCCAAAGACGACATGCGAAGACAAACTCTCATTCTTCAGCACTCCATGTGAGTTATAAAACCCCTTGTGGAAGAAGTCTACGAAACATGGAGGAAGTTTTTCGTTACCTGCTTGAGACAGAGTGTAACTTTTTATTTACAGATAACTTTTCTTTCAATACGTATGTTCAGTTGACTCGGAACTCCCCAAAGCAAGAAGAAATTGTTTCTGGTGTGGATATTAGCAATGGAGTGGAATCAATACCCATTTCTTTCTGTAATGAAATTGATAGTAGAAAGCTTCCGCAGTTTAAGTACAGAAAGACTTTGTGGCCACGAGCATACTATCTAAACAGCTTTTCCAACATGTTTACTGATTCATGTGACTGTTCTGGGGGCTGCATAGACATGTGAGTAGAAAAACATGACATTTAAAAAAGTCTTCTGAATGTAGCAATACTTGTTAAAAAGTCCTGCTATGTATCAATTTCTCTGTCTTTCTATCCAAAACCTGTTAAACAAGAGTCTAAAATGGAGAAGTGTACTCTCACTAGCAATAGAAAACTGTTTGTCAAATATAGTAATTTGAAAATTATTTCTTCCAAGGATGAGTATTTCCTTTAATCTTGTACCATAATCATAAAATAGCAATTATACCAAATGCCGATTAACAGTACCAGACACAGTGACAAGCACTTTACAGACATGTTTTTAGTCCTCACAAAAACCCCTGAGGTAGGTAATGTTATCTCCATGTTACAAATGAGGAGGTTGAATCCAGTTTAGAGAGGTCACAGGACAAATTGTAGAGCTAGGGTTTGAACTCATGTTTTTAACCACTGTGTTATATGTTGTATTTTATGTTTAAAAATCATTTCCTGACTAATTTTTTAAGAAAGATAATGGTGCTTATAACTAGTATTCTCTTGATCATGGTACAGTATTGACATTCCTTAAAAAAAGAAAATGTGTTCTAATATATGAAGACTTTGAAAAACATTTTGTTTTAAGGGTTTGTAGTATACATTTGTAGGTATACAGATGTCGAATGGAATTGAATCATATATACATTTAATTTAAGCAAATGTAGTGATCCTTACTAGGCAAAAGAATAAGAGAAGAGAAATAATCTAAGAAGTATAGATAATAGTTTTCACCATCCTCTCAGTTGGAGTATGAGGTGAGAGATATAAATCTATTGTTACCTAAGTTTGGCTCAATTCTTTAGGCCTCTTATAGATAAAACCTCTCACTGTGCTAAGTTTAAAAATAGGTGTTTATTTTATAAACATTGCCGGGCATGGTGGCTCAGGCCTGTAATCCTAGCACTCTGGGAGGCCGAGTCGGGCAGATTGCTCAAGGTCAGGAGTTCAAAACCAGCCTGGGCAAGAGCAAGACCCCATCTCTACCAAAAATAGAAATAAATTAATTGACCAACTAAAATATATATATACAAAAAATTAGACAGACATGGTGGTGCATGCCTGTAGTCCCAGCTACTCGGGAGGCTGAGACAGGAGGATCTCTTGAGCCCAGGAGATTGAGGTTGCTGTGAGCTAGGACGCCAAGGCACTCACTCTAGCCTGGGCAACAAAGTGAGACTCTGTCTCAAAAATAACAAAACATTGCCTCTAAATGTAGCCCAGCTGCCTCATGTGGGCTCTCCAGGGAAATAGAAGCAGGTACTGGCACAAGATTGGGAACTAGGCTAATATCTCACAGGACTTGGAATTAATGAAAACTTGGTTTACAACTGTGAAACCAATATGGTTTCAGCCAAAGTAATGGAAAAAGCACCCAAGATAGAGGAGCACACAGGAGTAAACCCCACATAAAGTATAAAGTATTCAAACATTGAAAGCACACAAAGATGTTTAAGACAATGAAGGCAGCATGAGTCTCAACAAATAGGGAGAATTCACGCCTAAGGAATCAGAAACAAATGTAGAATCTGAATGAAAGGGACTTTGAACATACCTATTTTAAAGAGATAAAATATTTACATCCACAAAGTAAGAAGAGAAGATTAAAAGGAAAATGAGGCCAAACGTGGTGGCTCATGCCTGTAATCCAAGAACTTTGGGAGGCTGAGGCAGGAGGATTGCGTGAGACCAGAAGTTCAAGATCACTCTGGACAACATAGTGAGACCCCATCTCTACAAAAAAAAAAAAAAAATAGAACAATTAGCTGGATATGATGGTGCATACCTGTAATCCCAGCTACTCGGGAGGCTGAGGCAGAAAGATCACTTGAGCTCTGAGTTGTAGGTTGCAGTAAGCAATGATGATGCCACTGCACTCTTGCCTGAGCAGCAGAGCCAGATCCTATCTTTTAAGAAAAAAGAAGGGAAGGAAAATGATATATATGAAAAGAAAAAGAACCATTTGGATATATGGAAAACAAAACATATAGTCATTGAAATAAAAACTAAGTAGATGGACTAAATGGTAGGGTTGGTATAGTTGAAGAAAGAATTAATGAATTGCAAGGCAAAACTAAAGACGTCTCCCAAAATGCGGAGATAAAGATATGGGAGAAATAACTTAGAAGTTAAAAAATATGGAGCCTAAAATGAGAAATTTCATCATATGCCTGAGAATAAGAGGAAATGGAAAAGATAACATTCAAAGAGATAATCACTGAGAATTTTTCAGAATTGAAAAGACAGGAGTCATCAGATTGAAAAAAACCTCTGTACAAAGATGGGAAAATGAGATAAAGGTTCATCTGAATATATTATGGGGCAACTTTAAAAATATCTGGGGTAGAGAGTAAATCCAAAAAGCTATCAGATAGAAAAGACAGATTTCCTATAAAGGAAAAACAGATTGACAAGACATTTTTCATCAGAAATAATAGAAGACAAAAAAAAATGGCCTATTAGCTTAAAGTGGTGAAGGAAAATAAATGTAAAAGTAGAATTCTTTACCCAGCTAATCACTGAAGGGAGGAAGGGTGATTTTTTTTCAATTACACAGCAATTAATGACATGTATACCTACTTTTCCCAGCAAGACTACATTTAGGTACATATAGAGCATCATTTTTCAAGCTACAAGTTTAGTGGGATGTGAAATCATTTAATGAACTATCATTAGCATTTTTAAAATTAAATAGTACAGAGAATACCCAAGTACATCACACACGATAAGCACAAAGTTTTGTGCCGCTGTTGTTTCAGTTTATAAACATACACATGTATATAAATATATGTCCCTATACAAGTTCATGAAGAAAATGTATTTCTGTGAATCATAGTCAAAATATTTGAAAGCTGTTACTTTAGAGATGTTTACACATGTGCATAAGAATGCTCATTGTAATGTTTGTGATATTGAAAAACGGTAAGCAACTTTATTGTATATCCAATGGGCAATAGCTAAATGCTGTAGAAAAGCTAAGGAATTAACCAGATTTGTATATAACACATGGTTCTCAAAACATATTGAACAAAAAAAGCAAGTTGTAGAATAATACCTATATAAATTTTTTTAAATGAAAGACTGTATATCGTTTATAGATATATGTGTATATAAAAGTATAAAGGACACCACACCAAATCTCTTTAGAGTTTAGTTTTACCTATAATGTTTTATTGATAATCTTTTAAGAAGACCACATATATATGAGATATATATATATATGTTGTATGTCTTTTAAATTATATACATAGGAAAACCGAGGATTAGACAAAATGTTGACAACTAATTCTGAGTAGTGGAAATATGGGTCTTTATTATATTTTTGTATTTTTCTGTACTTTTCAAACTTTGCAAACCAAATCACGTGGAAAAAGTCAACTATAGATTTTTACATCTGTAAACAGAATCCAATTTAATGAATTTGTTGATTTTTTTCCCCCCTTGGAAACAGCAGCCACCAATCTGATGTGTATCATGTATAAACAGAAAATACAGAAGAGAATCGTAGAAGAAGACCTTAAAGTTACTTGTTCAACAAAGGAGATTAAGATCCAGAGATTTAACCAGCTTAACAGCAGTCACATAACCAGTTTACAGATGATTCCAAGTTCCTTAAGCTCTATCGAATTATGAGTCCCTGTCAAGTTGGATAATCATTTAAGTAGTTAGGCTGAAAAATATATACATTCAAATTTATGGTTGCAAGTTGCCTGCCAGGCAACAATGTGAGAAAATTCTAGTAGCAAGGTCCTCAGCATCAGTCTCCCTTATCTGTTTCTGTTTTGCTGGAGTCATAAAGAACTTGCGACATCTGCAAAACTACATACCCTTGTGGATTTTACACACTCAAGTTTGTCCATCGTAGAACAGAACTAGCAGAATTTTCACAAACTAACATTGAATAGGAAATGAAAGGGATTCATTTTGAAAAGCTAAAGAAAGCTCATGAAGTATTTATTTAGTTCAGGAGCAAATAATGGTGCAAAGCAGTTTATAATTACTTAAAAACTTTTGGTAGGTATTATCTTTCAAAGAGGTGTATTGTATTTAGGGGAGAAGTCTATACTATCCATGAACCAAACAACTATTCTGAATGCTGTTATATCCTTTACTACATCATTTACACTTCTATCAAGACTGTCTCTTGGTGCTTTTTTATTCTGACTTCTCCATCTGTTGCCTTTTAGAACAAAATGTGCATGTCTTCAACTAACAGCAAGGAATGCCCAAACTTCCCCCTTGTCAAGTAATAAAATAACCACTGGATATAAATATAAAAGACTACAGAGACAAATACCTACTGGGTAAGATATCATCAGGATTTGTTACAGGGTATTTGTATCTTTGAAGGTGGGTACTCTTTTGTGGTCTACAGTCTTACAAATGTTCCCAAATCTCAGTTCCTAATACCAAAAATCACTAAGGAATAAGAATTCTGTATATTATTCTTGGAAATGGAAGTTAGAGACCACACATAATATCATGCAGAGTGTACTCTAACGCTCATCTGCTTTGAGTCTGGCTCTTATGCCTTTGGGGTCAGCCTACGTTGAATAGCCATTTCCCCATTAAGAAATATGTTGTGCAGAGCTCATCTGAGCTTGGGAATTTTCAACCTTTCATGGTTGGTATTAACAAATAATAACAACTTTGTAAACAGAATTTTTCTTCCTACATATTTCCTTTTGAGACATTTCCTTCCTAGATAGTTTTAAAGAGCTAACATTTACTATGCATGAGGCATTGTCTCAAGCACCTTATAATTATCGATTCACTTAATTTTCACAAAACAGTCTTATGAGGTAGGTACTATCACATCATCCCCACTTTTAAATGGAAAATTAAAGCACAGAGAAGTTAAATAACTCATGCGAGGTTGCACAGCTAGTAAATGTGGAAGCTATTTGGGAACCCATTCAGTCTAGCTCTAAGAGCTTTCACATTTAGTCTGCTTCCCTCAGTAGTTATCGTTGCTAGTAAAGTGGCGATATGAACTGCTTTTTGCTTTTAGGGGATGTCTGATTTTTCTCTTTTGCATATTTTATTGACAGCATTTATGAATGCAGCCTGTTGTGCAAATGTAATCGACAATTGTGTCAAAACCGAGTTGTCCAACATGGTCCTCAAGTAAGGCTACAGGTGTTCAAAACTGAGAAGAAGGGATGGGGAGTACGCTGTCTGGATGACATTGACAGAGGGACATTTGTTTGTATCTACTCAGGTAAAGCAAAGGTTTATTTTCAAATTATTCTGTAATAGGATCCGCTTTTCTGAAAATCCATTTTCCTAGTCAGGGCCGCTGAGATCTTACAAGCTGAAGAGCAGCAGTGTCTAAGAGGAGCATCAGAGGAAAGCAAGTGACTAGGAACTTGAGCACTGAAGGGATGAGATGCCTTAGGAGGTACCAGGCATTCCAGAAAAGAAAGTCTCAGAAATAAAACTTGGGGTTGAGTACAGTGGCTCACCCTGAAATCCCAGCACTTTGGGAGGCCCAGGAGTTCAAGGTTGCAGTGAGCTATGACGGCACCACTACACTCTAGCCTGAGTGACAGAGACCCTGTCTCAAAAAAAAAAAAAGAGGGAAAACTTGGATTATTGCATGAGGGCCTGTTATGTATAGGGCACACATTTTTGGTCTGTATGGCTACACATGCTTCAGAGTAAGGGAAGAAAACTTTTTTAAATAAAAAACTAAACGACTGACTTGCTGTAAGGTAAAGATTATCAATCAACCATATTGTTTCATGCTTTGAGCTATTATTAAAATTTAACAAGTTAATTTTGTAATATCTGAATGTGATGATTCAGGCAGTAACTTCAGGCAGCTCACTCCATTTCAGGGACTCTAGAGAGGTGTCTATGCTCCAGAGCAAAACTTCTCAAGCAACATATTGCAGCTGTGCAGTTACTGATTCTGTGGGTCACAGCGTCCAAGGCCAAACACATCAGTCTCCAGGAGTCTTGGCCATTTACCCCCAGCATGTCAGGCAGAAATCCTTATTTTCTGTGTGCACCATTATGTGAGAAAGTTTGGGAAACAGGGTTTTAGAGCCAATCTAAAAGAAATATGCTAGACCAAGTTTTGGCAGCTAGGCAGCAGGAACCAGGGCAGCGCCCCCCATCTGAAATTTCAGGTTTACTTCAGGGAAGGCAAGCAGAAGCTTGCAGTTATCTGAATTCAGAGTAGTCACACTCATGGATCCCTGCCACACCCCAATTACAGACATACGTAGTACACAGCCTGCCTAGATATTGTTCTCTCATATTTCTCAAAATAACACTGGGATGAAAGCTGCCTATAAACTGCCACATAGTGTCCAGGAAGCATCATTAGTTTTATTTGCATTGCTAGAAAATGTACTTGGCACAGGGTTGAGGAACCTGCAGCCTTCTGATTTCAAGATTGTTCTTTTTTAACCACCAAAGAGCAAAGAAAAGCTTCATCTTTCTCTGCTGCACCCGTTTTAATAAAAGGATTTTTTCTGTAAACTTTGGATTCAGTCAAAAGGCCACACTCAAGGATCCAGAAGACCACATGTGGGTGGGTAATAATATCCTACTGCTAATTTTGGTTTAGTAACTATAATTTTGAGTCCCTTAAAAGAAAATGCATAAACTTTAATAAGAGTTTAATGTTATACAAGACTTAATATTATGAGAGCTATAGGTACATATCATCCCAGATTTAAGTATGTCATTTTATTAAAAAGAGTATAGTTTCAAATAATAAAGCCTTTTAAAGCCTTTTTAACTAGACACAAAAGCTACAATTTTATGACTACAGATCACCTCTCTAATTCTCTAAAACACTTTCTGATGGATATTTTTGTTTTATATTATAGCAAAATCTCTTTTGTATTATACCAAAACAGACAAATGATTCATTTAGATACCCTATATTTTTTTAATATACTGGAAGATAAGAAATCCCTCTCACTGGTCTTTTGTCTATCTTGCAACAGTTTTTTAGGATGAGTTAATGTGTTTAATCTTCATTCTAGAAATGAAGCACACAGTACAGGGTTCTTTAATCATGGAGCAGAAATAGGTATGTCTGAAAGGACAGCATTGCTAATAAACAGGAAAAAACTATCAAACAGAAAGTAAAAAAAAGAGAGAAAGATCACAGAACACAACTGCCCCTTTGTTTGATTAACCACCTATGGCTTAACGTGTCTTTAAGAGTTTGTTTTAGCAGCACTTGAAAAGAACCAAGTAGACAGCAGGGTTTCGAGCATCCACTAGAACACATTCCAGGGAGACTGATAAAGACAGCCTGGCAGAGAAGAGAAACAAACACAGCTGCCTTCTGTTACCATTTTGCAGCAATAACTTTTTTTCCCTTTCTCTTTATCCCAATAAAACCCCCAAACCCTTTATCCTCAGGCTGGCACTACTACTTCTTTCTTTTATGTCGTGCCCTTTCCTCTCCTGGAAAGTAAAATAAATTTTCTCTTTAAAACGTATCCTGGGTCCTGTACGGTGGCTCATGCTTGTAATCTTAGCACTCTGGCAGGCCGAGGCAGGTGGATCATTTGAGCTCAGGAGTTTGAGAACAGCCTGAGCAAGAGTGAGACCCCGTCTCTACTAAAAAAATAAAAAGAAATTAGCTCAATAACTAAAAATATATAGAAAAAATTAGCCGGGCATAGTGGCGCATGCCTGTAGTCCCAGCTACTTGGCAGGCTAAGACAGGAGGATCGCTTGAGCCCAGGAGTTTGAGGTTGCTGTGAGCTAGGCCGATGCCACGGCACTCTAACTCAGGCAACAGAATGAGACTCTGTCTCAAAAAAATAAAATAAAACCTATCCTGATCTTTGTGTCAAAAATTCTTTCTCATCCTGCGCTGCAAGTTCCCACCCCAATAATGTCCATTTGTTGTTAGCAATTATATTCTGTCTTACACAAACTTTTTTTTTTTTTAGGAAGATTACTAAGCAGAGCTAACAGTGAGAAATCTAATGCTATTGATGAAAATAGGAAAGAAAAGAATACTATGAAAAATAAACTTTCAAAAAAGAGGAAAATAGAAGTTGCATGTTCAGATTGTGAGGTTGAAATTATCCCATTAGAACTGGAAACAGATCCTAGAAGTGCTGAAACTGAAGAATGTCCACCAGAGTTCAGTAATAATTCCAAAGAGCTTGTCACGTAAGTAAGAGCCGAGGATCCCAGAGTAAATATAAGTTATTATTGATCAAGAATGGCTCTTTCTCCTTCCTGTCTTTCTTAGTCCCCCCAACCCCTCCCTCTGTATATCTACTTCCTTCACAGATGTAAGTTTAACACATCCTCATTCTATCTGAAAAGCTTTCATAGATTTTCTTCATTTTTTTTAACATACTTCAAAAATTACTTTTAAGTATGATTATATTTTCTTTCTATTAAGGAACAGGCTTAGATGTTCTTAGATTAATTTCTAATAATAGATATTTGTGTAATAGTGACATTATATTTCAAAGTCTAATAAAAATAATTTTTAGTGATATACAGAATAACTTTTTTTTTCCTTTTCAGGGAAATGAAGTATAACAATATTTCAAGAATTCATTGTCATTCAGTTATTAGAAGTCCTAAATCCAAGACAGCAATTTTTCAACACAATGGGAAAAAGACGGTAAAAACTACAAAATGTAAATGGGGTCCTTCTGTAAACATGAGCTGTTAGGTTGGTACAGAAGTAATTGCGGTTTTGGGCCATGAATTTTAAATCATTATAATTAGGTTCAAACATACCTTTATTAATCAAAATAGGAACCATTACAATTAACACATTTTTGCTAATGAGAAATAAGTTTGTTTATGCCTATGACATAAAAATCCATGCTTTGGGATTCGACAAATTCTTGGAAAGCATTTTCCCTGCAAAAAGTTGTTGATATGCTTGAAGAAATGATGGTTGGTGAGAGGTCAGAGTGAATATGGTGGTTGAGGCAAAACTTTGAAGCCCAATTTGGTCAACTTTTGAAGCATTGGTTGTGCGACGTTCAGTCAGATGTTGTTGACAAGAATTGGGCCCTTTCTGTTGACCAGTTTTGGCTGTAGGTGTTGCAGTTTTTGGTGCATCTCATCCATTTGCTGAGCATATGCTCAGATGCCATGGTTTCACCGGGATTCAGAAAGCTATAGTGAATCAGACCGGCAGCAGCCCACCAAACAGTGACCAAGACCTTTTTTTGGTGCAAGTTTGGGTTTGGCATGTGCTTTGGAGCTTCTTCTTGGTCCAACCACTGAGCTGGTCGTCGCAGGTCACATAAAATCCACTTTTCATTGCACGTCACAATCCGATCGAGAATGGTTCATGGTTGTGTAGAGTAAGAGAAGATGACACTTCAAATCAACAATTTTTTTGATTTTTGGTCAGCTCACAAGGCATCCACTTATTGAGCTTTTTTATCTTTCCAATGTGCTACAAATGCCAAAGAACATAGTATGGTTGACATTGAGTTCTTCGGCAACTTCTTGTGTCTTTCTAAGAGGATCAGCTTCAGTGATCAGTCACAACTGGTCATTGTCAATTTCCGATGGCTGGCCACCACACTCCTCATCTTTAAGGCTCTCATCTCCTTTGCAAAACTTCTTGGACCACCACTGCGCTGTACATTCATTAGCAGTTCCTGGGCCAGATGAGTTGTTGATGTTATGAGTTGTCTCTGCTGCTTTATGACCCATTTTGAGCTAAAAAAAAATCACTCGAATTTGCTTTTTGTCTAACATCATTTCCGTAGTCTAAAAGAAATATAAAATAAACATCAAGTAATACATCATTAACAAAAAAAATAAAGTGAGAAATGCACATTAAAATGACGTATAACATAAGCACATTTACTTAAGAATGTATTCCAGGTCTAAAATGGCAAATTTCAACAATGCTAAAACCGCAGTTGCTCTTGCACCAACATAATATTATCTTACCTTTCTGTCCTTTACTTAGTTCAAAATGTTTATGTTACTGAATAGTGTGTAGAATTTCTTTGGGAATGGGTGGTCTGTTGAAGTGCTAGGACCATGTTTTATTTACTTAGTATCCTCTGTGGCAGTTACCCTGTTTCCAGCTTAGATCCATGAGGAGAGTGTTAGTCATGATCTGACAGTGTGCTCTGCTAAGACTGAGAGCTCTCCCATTCTGAGAATTTGTGGGAGAAGCTAAAGTGTTCAACAGTTAATAGTGGTGTATAATAAGAAGAGGAACAGAGTAATTTAGGTTAAGTAGAAGGTTTTAAGATGTGGGAAAAAGAAGAGATACAACTTTACAAAAGAATCACCCAGAAAGCAGTATTTTACATGGTCGCCTCTGAGCATGCACTGTCTGAACTAAGAAGACTAGTCAGAGACTGGAATTTAGAGAGAGATACAGGAAAAATAACAGAGGAAAACACAATGGTAGGTTATATTAGGGCTTGTCGATGGAAAATAAAAACTCTGCTTTAGGTGTAACACAAATATTTGCCCTCTGCTTAGTTAACAATGTAATGGGTACTTCCTCAGTATCACATAATTATGAAAAGATTGGGCCATGGGGTCACATGGGCCTGGGTTTAACCTCTAGCTCTGCTGCTTACTAGTTGAGTGACATCTCCATACATATATTTCTTTTATCTGTAAAGGGATAGTAGTATGTATCTCAGAGTTATGAGGATTAAATGAGATAAACATCAGAAACTTGCTTAGCAGAATGCTTGGCACCCAACTAAGTCTTCAGTAAGTGTTGACTGTTCAAATACTGAGAACTTGAATGATAATATTAATGATAAACATTTATTGAACACTTAGTTGGGTGTTTCTCCTAAGCATATATACCCCTCTTTTAAAATTAATGTTACCAAGGCAGAGGCAAGCAGCTGGGGTGAGAAAAGAAGTGAAAACAGCGTTGGAACAAGGAGCCCTCATAAGGAAATGAAGACCCAAAGACACAGAGTTGAACACTTACATACTGAATTGGACAAAGAATAGCTTCTTTTTCTCACTGCCAGATGTATTCTTGAAAGGCACAATAACCCAGATCCTGGAATCTTCATATCCTACTTAAATTGCAGTTAGGGTCTCTGCTTTTGCTAAGAGGGCATCCATGACCCTGATGGTGTTTTCATTCAAGATCAAGTGATTTATTGCCTTTATTGGTTAACTGAACAAATTCAGGTTAGTGTATTTTCTGGACAGCACTTCCCTGTTCCAATTATGTGTTAATATTTTGAGAAATGGGTAATTTAGTGGTTAAAGCTACATTATGTATGTACCAGTGAAGAAGTAGAATTAGAAAGGACAAATCAGTCTAAACTCTTGAATTGTGTATTAGTTAAGATATTTTCAGAGTACCTACTATCTACAATCAGCATTGCATGAAATGAAAAATATTTTACTTTCTTTCTAATAGTTAATGAGGCTAGATAAAACAAGTGGCTGACTGTGGTACATTGAACTTTTGGTATCCCTGTGTGGCATATTTGGTGCTAAAAATAAACAATTTATCTTTAAAAAAAAAAAGTCAATGTTACCATTTAAAGTGACTGCATAGTCTTTAATGTGTAAAGACAGGCAGATTCTTTAACCTTTTTTTGAAGTGGGAACTAGCCAATGAGTGTTTTTTTTTTTTTTTTTTTTTTTTATTTTGGCATATTATGGGGGTACAGATTTTAAGGTTTCAATAAATGCCCATTCCCCCCCTCCCCCCAAAAGTCTGAGTCTCCATCATGACCATCCCCCAGATGGTGCACATCTCACTCACTATGTATGTATATACCCGCCCCCCTCCCCCCTCCCACCTGCCCAATACCCTATTACTGTAGCACCTATGTGTCCACTTAGGTGCTACTCAGTTAATACCAGTTTGCTGGAGAGCCAATGAGTGTTTTTATCTTTGCACAACTTATGTAATAGTTGAAGCAAAATTCATAATGTGGTAACAATACTTTCTCAGTACTGAGGATGATTGCAATGATTAGAATTGAGGGATACAGACAGATGTCTTTGGATTTTAATGCCCAAAGAATGTCTTGATAGTCTTTTATAGCTGTGGCTTAATAAAGCACCTGGAGGTAGAACCCAGTCAGAAGGGATGACACATGTTGGCTCCATTAGTCTAAAGACTTCTTATGATATCAGCCTTGATCAAAACTAATCTAGTACATACAGCCTATGAAGATTGACACTTGATGAAATAGACCTAACTGCTAAATACTTTTTCCTGACCTAGAAAATAAAAATATCTTTTTTTTTTTTAAGGAATTTGTTTCCTTCGAGTCTGTCACCTCAGAAGATAACGATAGATTTAAACCAAGCCGGGAACATCTGAACTCTAAAGCCAAGGGAGCACAAAGTAGGCTTTATTTCATTCTGTGATTCCTTCCTCTTCTACCTGTTTGTCTCTCTCTTGTTCCATACCTGTGGCTCATTTTCTCAGATTCCGTAACAAACATGCTGCATTTGTGACAAAAGTTGCAACTTGTCTATATCAGCGAACTATGGTTTGTGGGCCTACCACCTGTTAAGTATGGCATGTGAGCTAAGTGTGATTTTGACATTTTTAAACTAGTTGAAAAAAAAATCAGAAGGTGAATCGTATTTTGTGACACTTGAAAATTATATAAAATTACAATTTCAGTGTCCATAAATAATGTTTTATCAGAACACAGCCAACTTAAATTACATACTGTCCACTTTCACATTGCAGCAACAGAGTTGAATAGTCACTACAGAGACCACATGGCAGGCAAAGCCTAAAATATTTGCTGTTTAGTCCTGTACAGAAGTTTGCTGACCTCTGGTCTAGTTGCTAACAGTGACTTGATGTACAACAGGAGGGGTGGAGTGGACAACTCTGACTCTGTTCATACAATGGCCTTTACGTATTGTCTATGGCTTTGGAAGCATTGTCCAGGGCAGCCACTTTCTAATTCCTTGTTTTAGATTCCTTTAAAAATACAGACACATTATTGTCCTGCAGTAGTCTAGCTAATGCAGCTACAGAGGATACTCAGCATGACTTTAGCAAAAGGATAAATGTCACTACCCTGAGTACTTGTCTTTTAGAGTTACCAGTCCTTGCCATAGTTAATATTACAATTGGACAAACCTTGTTTTGGGCACTTTTTTTTAAGAGACAAGGGTGCTCTGTCACCCAGCCTGGAGTGCAGTATAATTTCAAACTCCTGACCTCAAGCAATCCGCCCGCCTTGGCCTCCCAGAGTGCTAGGATTACAGGCATGAGCCACCGCACCCGGGCCTGCAGTGGTATGATTATAGCTCACTGCATCCTTGAATGAACTCCTGGGCTCAAACAATCCTCCTACCTCAGCATCATGAGTAACTGGGACCACGGGCATGGGCCACAATTTAAAAAAAAAAAAGGCTGGGTGTGGTGGCTCACGACTATAATCCTAGCACTCTGGAAGGCCGAGGAGAGCGGATAGCTCGAGGTCAGGAGTTCAAAATCAGTCTGAGCAAGAGCAAGACCCCGTCTCAACTATAAATAGAAAGAAATTAATTGGCCAACTAATATATATATAAAAAATTAGCTGGGCATGGTGGTACATGCCTGTAGTCCCAGCTACTCGGCGAGTGGAAAACTCGAGGTAGCAAGATGATTGCAGGAGTTTGAGGTGCTGTGAGCTAGGCTGACGCCACAGCACTCACTCTAGCCTGGGCAACAAAGCGAGACTCTGTCTCAAAAAAAAAAAAAAAAAAATGTTTTTTTTGTTTTGTTTTAAGTTTTTTGTAGAGATGGGTCTCACTATGTTGCTCAAGCTGGTCTTGAACTCCTGACCTTTTGCATTTTAATGTGTCTGTCAGTGTGAAAACATTGTTGAGAAATGTCCTTTTGTGAAGAACTGACTAGCCTTTGCTGCCTCTTCCTCCTTGGACCCTCCTTGCCTCTGCAGCCCAAACTCCCCACCTAGTATTAAAAGATAGAGATTAGAAGAAGCATGGCAGCTCCTTGATAGAAAAGGTCTATCAAGAAAGAGCATTTTGGGCGGGCGCGGTGGCTCACACCTGTAATCCTAGCACTCCGGGAGGCTGAGGCGGGGAGGATCGCTCAAGGTCAGGAGTTCGAAACCAGCCTGAGCAAGAGCGAGACCCGTCTCTACTATAAATAGAAAGAAATTAATTGGCCAGCTAAAAATATATAGAAAAAATTAGCCAGGCATGGTGGTGCATGCCTGTAGTCCCAGCTACTGGGGGGGGGGGGTGAGGCAGGAGGATTGCTTGAGCCCAGGAGTTTGAAGTTGCTGTGAGCTAGGCTGACGCCATGGCACTCACTCTAGCCTGGGCAACAAAGCGAGACTCTGTCTCAAAAAAAAAAAAAAAAAAAAAAGAGCATTTTATGTATTATATTTGACACTTAATGCACGTGAGCCACAATACATACTATTGCTTTTGGTTCTTTTGCCATATCATTTTCTTTTTTTTTTTAATTTCTTTTTTTTTTTTTGAGAAGTTTAATTCGTTTGCCAGCAAATGAGAAAGATTGAGACTCCTGTCTGAAATGCCATTGTCCTAATAATAAGCAGAAATATAGAGCTTTTAAAGGGAGGCCATTCAGCTTCATTGCCATCTTCTTTGCTACCATGTGTATAGCAGGCATTCCAAAAATCATAAGTTATATACTTTTTGGATCAAAAATCCAAAGATATATACTAGAGGGCTTATAGGTAAGCAGTGAGTAAAATGAGTTCATTTAGGAACAGCAGCCAGCAACAGTAATGATTAAATCAATAGTGGAGTATAAAAGTATAATTTTTGAATAGTCATCTAGCAAAACACCAAATACTAATGTGTACAAAACCCCTAGCAATATACTTGTCACTGTTCAGACTTGTGGAGGGTGGATCTAACAGGGTGTTCTCTGGCCTTTCATCAGCAACATAAAGGCCTACAGTGTCTCCAAAACACCCCTCTGTTACAGCTATTAAGAAAATACTTAAATGCAAATTCCAGAGTTAAAGAGAAGAAAGTCAGTTTAAGAGGAAATGTCAAAGCCAATCATGGTGGCTCATGCCTATAATCCTTGCACTTTGGGAGGCCAAGGCAGGAGGATTGCTTGAGGCCAGGAGTAAGGAGATCAGCCTGAGCAAGAGAAAGACTGGAGGGAGGCTGAGGCAGGAGGATCACTTGAGCCCAGGAGTTTGAGGCTGTAGTGAGCTATGATGAGGCCACTGCACTCCAGCCTGAGTGAGAGAGAGTCTCTGTCTCAAAAAAAAAAAGAGAGAGAGAGTAAAGATTAAATATAATAATGGGAAAATAACATGTAGATTCATAAAAGGGCATTGTTATGTAGTAGAAAGAAGTCAGACTTTGGGATCAAACATTTCTGGGTTTGTTGCCCCAGTCCTTAATATTATTATGGGTCAGGTGAATCTCTTAACCTCTCAGAGATTCAAAGTTTTCATTTGAAAAATGATAGTAATACTACTTACCTAACACATTGCAAGGAGTAATGATAAAGCAACTGACATCTAATTAGTGTTGTTAATTTCACCACGCTTGCTCAGCCAAGTATATTTCCTGACATTTCCTTCCAAAATATCTATTAGAGGACTCAGGTGCAAACCAAGTTGAAGATTGTGAAGACAACCTGCTGATTGCATCAGATGTGATAGATATAACTAGATGTAGAGAAGAAACTCCACCAGGGGGCAGATGTAACCAAACAACCATATTGGATCATCAGAATATTAAAAAGGAGTTTGAGACTCAAACACAAAAGCCTCAAGAGGAGCAATCTTCAGCATGTCAAAAACAGCGCAGCTTTTGTGATGAAGAGTTGCCAAATGAAACCAAGAATACTTCATCTGATTCTCTAAGGAAGCTCAGTAAAGGGAATGGGTTTTTATTGGATGCCACAAAAGAAGGAAATGTGGGCCGCTTTCTTAATGTGAGTATAGAGGCTGAGATTCATAGTTCTAAGCAACTGTTTTTCTATGTTCCTTAACAAAATATGATGCTCAGACTCTGAAGCAGACTACTTGTGTTAGAGTTATAGTCCTCTGTGTGTGACTAAGGGCATGTTGACCACTGATGCCTCATTTTCTACCTCCGTAATACAGGGATAATAATAACTGTCTCACAATGTCGTGAGGATTGAATGAATTAATATAAGGTGTTTAAATCAGTGCTTAGGACATAGTAAGCATTTGCTTTAAAACAGCTGTAAGAGATAGTGTGTAGGGAAAGTATTTAAATATATTGAAAGGTTTTCAAGCTCACCCACCCAAGTTGAAAAAAATGTTTGGACGAGAAGTTATCATTGAAATTAAACGGTGGCGGGGACATGCCCAAGGAATATTGTGGAGTTCTGATCCCTTTATGAATCTTATGATAGATGAATGTGTGGAGATGACAGCTAGTAGGCAGCGGAACAATATTGGAATGGTGGTAATATGAGGGAATAATGTTATCTTGTTAGAAGCCTTGGAATGAAGATATATAATGGCTCTGTTCAGCAGGGAAATCAGTTGCTTACATATGTCTCTCTCCAAAGGGCCTGTTTCTTAGTATGATGTAAAAATTGGGTTGTATACAGTCTTCATATTAAACCTTTTTGTGAAAACTGTTTTATTAAAAAAAAAAAGCCATACCTTGAGAAGTACTATGCCCCTATTTCATTTTTCCTGGCTTCTCTCTACCCTCTCTCTATAAATAATCGTTTTTATTACTTTCTTGTATGCTCTTCTAGTGTTTGTTTCTGCAAATACAAGTAAATATAAATGTCTGTTCTTATTTCTCCCCCTTTTTTGCATAAAAGAAAATATATTCACTGTCCTACACTTTGCTTTTTAAATTCACAATACATTCTGGACATCTTTCCATATTAGTACACAGAGCTTTTCATTCTTTTTGTGTGTTTTTGTTTATAGCTGCATAAAATTTCATTGTGTGGCTATACCAAAGTTTGTTTAACCAGTTCTCTTTAAGAAAACATTTGTGTTATTTCCAAATTTTTACCATTAAAAACAATGCTCAGTGAATAATCTTACACCTAGACACATACACAGGGGAATGTGTAGAATACATTCCTAGATGTGGGATTGCTGAATCAAAAGAAAAATGCATTTTATAATAATGATAAATATTAACAAATTATCTTTTATAGGGGTTTATACCATTTTTGCATTTTTACCAGCAAGATATGAGTGAGTGTCAGGGCTTTTTTGAATGGTTTCCTGCTATTAATTGAACTGTCCTGAGCTGTGATACTCTATATATTAGCAAAAATAAATAAATAAATAGAGAAAATCAGTAAGATGTGTTGGAAACAGAATGGTATTCTAATGCTTTAAAGTACAAACCATCAAACTTTATGCCATATCTAACCTCTGT